CTCCACTCCTCAGCTTGTTAAAGGAAAATAGTATGCTTATGTTGAGTGCTTTTGTTAAGACGGTAGGAAAAAATACATAATTTTTAGTGAATCCTCTCACCCTGAATTGTATTTAAACACGGGTTGGATTTTTGTTTGGTTTTGGTTTTTTGCTTGTCGTTCAACAGCATGGTGAGCTTAACTTTAAAATACAATTGAATAGTGAATGGAATATTTTTACACTCTAAAACTTTCCTGATGCGCCGTTATCTCCAGGCTGAAAAGGGCTGCAGTGTTACGCCCTTGGCAGAGAATGCTCCAAACCCTACTTTGGTGTTTGATTTCAGGGAGCGCATTTAAACCAGTATTTCTTACATATAATCATTGTGTGACTTCATTACACATTTATCAACTTTGGACTAATTATTTTTATACAGCGAGGGCAGGGCACTGCATCTCGTGCTCGTCTTTCTTACTAATAGGATTCTGTCTGCTTCAGCAGGCCGTAATTGAAGGCTTCATGTACAGAGCAGGGGGCGGTGGGTGGGGGAGTTTTAGCCTGAGTGGACCATTGTCACAGCTTCTGGTAACCAGTAGAATAGAAAACATGAGAAGATTGAACTCAGAATAGAAAAAAATCAGAAGCCAAGAAGACTTATCCAAGAGCAGAGAAAGCACGTCTGGTAGCTGTTGCATTAAGTGTAGCCAATCTGATTCTGCACAAAAGATGTTATGTTTGTGACTCTGCCCGGGAGCTTGGTTGATGCAGCTCTCAGATAAATATTTTTAAATCCATGTTATACTATTAACATTTTAGTTGTTAGGACAGTTGAGTTGTGGAATCTCTTTTGCTTCAGACAAAGAGCATTTCTAGTCCATGGCTAATTTCTCATAGATCTGAAATGTGAAAGTGTGATTTAAGTGCAAGAGGGGCTAAATTCATGAATTACAGATAACATAGTTGTTCAAACGTGCCAGTATCTGGCCTATTTTTATAATCCTGTCAGTTGCTAAGACAAAAAAAAAATCCCTTTTTTTTTTTTTTTTAGCAGAGTGGGGTTTGCTTCTTTTAGATTTTATTTCTTTCTTAAATTGCAAGACTTCCTAGATGTTTCTAAAATAAACTGTCAATTACTAAAGATAATGGACAAAAAAACATTTAATCATATGAAGTGCAGATAGAGCCAAATCGCTTTACCTTCCCCTTTGGTGATTACCAACAAGTACATTCTTGGTGGTGGAATGAGATGGAAAATTTGGAAGAACTCTCGATGGCATCTTTTAAAGGAGCCCGCCACACCTAGACAGTACAGGCCTAACCGTTATCCCACTCACTGGTTCGCATGGGTGGGGTTGCTGGTCCTGGAGGCTGCTGGTCTCCCAGCAGACCTTCCTTCATGTTTCCGCTCCATCCAAGAAAGTTTTGTATTCTTCCTTCTTTGGAGTGTGGGGAGGTTGCAGAGGGAATTAAAAAAAAAAAAAAATTTAACCTCTAAAGGCAGAAATTGACACCATATTATGACAAAGCCTAAAGTCAAGATGCTGTAGATAACAGAACACTGAAAAAGTCCATTATAGTAATTTATAGTATTTTCTAAAGGGAAAAAAAAATAAACATTTTTGGAATAAAAATAGATTGCATACATATGAAATTGAATAGGGCAAGTCTTTATTGACTGATAAGAATGCATTTGAATGGTGCATTTTTGCATATATGAAGAGAAAATATGTAACCTGGAATCAGAATGCATGGATTCAGATTCCTGTCAATGGCTGTGTGACCCTGAGCAAGTACCTGCCTCTCAGGCTCAGACGCGATCATGCAAATGAAGCGTCCCTACTGCCAAGTATGCAGTAAGCACTGACTAAACTGGCTGTTACTATCATCAAACTCACTCTCCCTGCCATCGAGTCGCCCCAACCCATAGCGGCCCTCTAGGACGGCTAGAACGGCCCTCTTTTGAGTTTCCGAGACAGTGACTGTTTACTGGAGCAAAAACCCACCCCCTCCACTTACCCCCATCTTTCTCCCAAGTGGGGCCCTCTTGGCATCGTGATGGCACCTTCGGCTGTGATCCACAAGGTTAGTACCATGGTGATCAAAACTTTAGATGACTCTTGACTGTTGTTGTTGTTACAGTAAGGTCTTAGTTTGAGCCCCAGTCAGAGGTTCGCATGTCAGCCATTCGACTGAGTACAACGATATTTGACCCAAGCTGTCTCTATAGCCAGTGTGTGCTTGCCTTTATCCAAAAGCTAGCTAGCTCTTTGTACTCTGTCCATAAGTATCTTTTAAACGTGTGTCAAAGCATAGCCTGTTTCGGAGCTAAGTGATTAATAAATTTGGAGGGCGGGTAGCTTTGCTTAACATGGACCAAAACAAGCGCTTTGTAATCGCGCTGTGTTTCAATTAAATACACCCTTTTTGAACTGTGAGATGAGAGTGTCAGAACATCTGATCTTCGCATCTTCTGGTTTAAAGCACCGCTTCCACCATTGGTGCCCACCCACTAGAGCAGAGGGGCCTGCTTAGCAGGCAGTGGGGCTTTTATCCCCGCTAGCAGACGGTACTGCTGGGGTGATTTTGCTTAGCATGTTCCTGCTGAAGTGCAAACTCACACCTCCTTTCTCAGGACCCCTCTTTACAGTATTGAAAAGCCTGTATTAGAAACAAATTTTAATATGCTGCTCCCCAAATTGACATTTCTCTCTGCTGAATCTGTTTTGTTGTGACATTGGCTGTCAGTTTTTTAAGAGAAGAAAAAACTACCCAGGGCTATGCCACCCTGAAATTCATACTACGGTGATTTGGTGCCCTCTTCATGCATAACCTCCTTAATGGCCCCTTGAGTGGTCAGTCCATCAAAGACTGATGAGACTGTTGTTTTACACACACACATACACACACACACACACACACACACACACTATTGTTTTCATTAGTAGTCTGAAATAAGGGAACGTTATTGAAATATTTACTGTCTGAATTAAGAATAGAATGGCCAAGTTGATGGGGGAGGCTGCACAGATAAATGGGAGTATAGAGTAATCATATGGGGCTGATTTGCCAAATCCAGAAACAAGTCTTCTGTGAAGCAAAAGAACCTCAAAATTGACGAAAGAAATATATATAAACCTGCAAGGGGCAGCACGCAGGCGAGGTCACAGTGGAGCTGGTATTCTCTGGCTTCCTCAGAAACGGGGATGAAGGCGCCCAGCTCCCCGTCTCTGAATGTCGCTCTGAGTGGCAGATGGGGGATATGTTAGGAGCATTATAAGAGCTCTTTGGAAAGCATTACTATGATTCGGGTTCTTAAGCTGGCTACTTAAAATTGCTTTTCTCAGTAGGAACACTGCTCTAGCTGACTCCTTGACAAGACTTTAGTATGTTTGTAGAAAGTAACTTACACACACACAGATGGCTGGGAAGTTTTCTAGAAATCATCAACAAGCCACTAGCTAACATTTTAATATCGTGAACATAGCATATATGTTTTCCTCTTAATGCCTGGCTCTGACTGTTGGAAAACTGACTTTCAGGATTCTGCATAGGCCCCAGAATGGTGGGATTTCACAAACACACACCGAACATGTCATGAGATCTTGATGTCATTTTAAAAAAAAGAGAGAAAAATTACTTTTCATTTAAAGAGAATCTGCTTCCTGCTTAAGTGGCTAATATTTTAATTAAGTAAGGAGTGAAGTTTTTTTGAGTGTCTCCTGATAAACTCCCTCTTTTATGTTGATGGTAATTAAACCGGTCCCCGAGGACACTGGGCTCAGAGCCGGGCCCAGGCCGACTGTCAGACAGGAGACACTGGCCAGTTGGTTTGCTCTTGAATAGTGCGCAGCGTGCTGTCGGCACGGCCGTTTTGTTTGTGTGTATTGTGAGCCGTTGTCAGGGCTAACTGGGGGCCATTGTCACTGAAGATGTTGCGCAAATTGAGGCAGATGGCCGGGCTTCAGACACGTGTCCCACAGAAAGGGGAAAGGGGGTTGGCCCTGCAAAGTGGGGTCACAGCAGGTCACAGACCTGCTCCACACTTGTTAGTGTTTTCAAAGGCTCATGTGCAGCAACTTTGTTTTTCTCCAGTCGGCCTTGCAGTCGGCCCCCTCCCCCTCCACACTGTGTGGGACACGCTCCGTGGTGGGAAATGGAGGCCTAGCGGGTTGCCCGTCCTCTCCCCGCACGTCTCTGGGGCCCAACTGTACATGCAGAATGAATTAACAGGATTGACAGAAGTTCATTGTGCCTCCACCAGCTTTTCAGTCAATTGCAGTGCTTAAAAGGCTGGTTTTGCTTTTTAATTCCATGTAATTAGTAGGTTCTTCATGTCTTGGAATTTAGTAATGGGGCATTAGACCCTGAGTTTCCTCTATTACATTCGAAAGCAAAAAGGAGAGAGAGAGAGGTTGCGTGAGATCTAATGTTCAGAACCTTAAAAGAAGGGGGGTGATTTGGGGGTCCCATGTGCGCCTTGGGTGTCATCATCCGCAGTAGAGACAGGACTGGAGTATTTTAGCGTGAGCGAATCCACTGAGACTCAGTAAGCCTTTCCTCATAGACACAAATGTACCTGACTTCTTGCGTAACCATTTGCAGATATGAGGAATTAAAATGCCAAGCTCTCTGGGGGGAAAAGGGTACTTTTTGCTTATTGCGATTTTAAAAAAGCAAATATAGTGGTTTGGTTTAAATGGCCTGTGCTTGGTGAAATGTTGGTTAAGTGGGAAAACAAACGAGTCCCCAGTACCCGGCGCTCACTTGCGGCCCTTGTTCAACCTGAGAAGCCAATAGACTTCCTTTCCCAGTCCTGTGTTATGATGCACCAAAATCACTTGCTTGTACGCAGTCCTGGGCAGTTATTTACTGTGTGTTTCTTTCCCCAGAAGAATGCTTGACTTTGGGTTTGGTCTATGAAGGGGACCTATAATAAATTATTTCATTTGAGGAAATTTTATTTTCAACCTTTTTTTTCCCCTTCACAATAAAAGTCTCTCTCTCCCCCCCACCCTTCCAGGTTTGCAGCTAAAACAGTGCACAGTGGGTCGCTGATGCTAGTCACAGTGGAACTGAAGGAAGGCTCCACCGCCCAGCTGATCATCAACACGGAGAAAACTGTGATTGGTTCTGTTCTGCTGCGGGAACTGAAGCCTGTCCTGTCCCAGGGGTAACCTGCTTGCATCTGGACTTCAGGATCTGGCACACAACAAAAGTGCCTGGCATCCACTGCTGCTGCCTTTCATTTATAATAATAGCCCTTCCATCTGGCAATGGGGGGGATACACTCCTGACATTCCTCCCGCCTGCTTTAGAATGCTAGTGTGTGTCTCATGTCCGCAATGCTGGCCCCCTTTCGCTTTGCTAACCAAAGAACATATATTGTACTGTCAGTTATCACAACTCTTGAATCCCTGTGACGTTTTCCCTGCCCTGCTACTTCCTGTGGCCTCCTGCTATCTTCTCTCTCTCTCTCTCTCTCTCTCAGCAATGATGGGCACTAACTGGACTTGCCCTTTCTGCAGGAAGCAGAGATTAGCAGTCTGTCCGCCCCCCTCCCCCCGCTGGGTGGGTGAAAATGGGGTCCCATACTTTCTAGAATGAAGTGCATAAGTAGTGAGGTCTCTGGATAAAGAAAAGAAATAAAAAAAATGTTGCTCCTTAAATTTCCTGGGATCCTAATTGATTATGGACAACTGTCATCATGAAATTATCACTAAATAATAAGATGAATAAACGAGCATCGGAATCACATTTGTCTTTGCATTTTCAGTGGGAAACTCCCAGTGATGTTGAAATCTGTGTGCTCAGGCTTGTGTTGGTTTAAGTCTGAGATGAACAGTCTCAGTGTTAGATTGGGTGGGGCAGCAGCAGGGCCGGGCTAGTGAGAGGAAAGCCACTTCGCACCAGGCAGCTAGCGCCCAAGAAAGAACAGTTGTGTGCTTAGGGACAACTTCACAAACCTCGACGTCACACAAGGTCTCCTGCGTGCAGTTTGGGTCTGTTGTCTTAGGAATCTGATGCAAGGCCTATCCCTGCTAAAATAATTCTTTGATATCATTGTTTCTCTACAGGTCTTGGGGCCCAACTTTGATGGGCTTCTTTACTATTAGCTTCATTGTAGAAAAGTTGAGAGCTAACCATAGGATTAACATATTAACATCTTTAATATGCTCACTTAAGCAGGTTACTGTTTTTATTAAGATTGTCCTAGAATCAGAAAACCTAAGAGTTTCATCCCTTTCGAAATTGTGTTTACTTTCATGACATAGAGTAATGGGCTTTCGGGCAATCGGATGCTCGTCAGTTCCCTGAGAAATAATGGTAAACAAGCCAAAAGGAAGAGAACACAACAACTGAAACACCGTAGCCCGTGTTTCTCGAGAGGAGACAAAGGAAACACAGCCTTCTTGGGACCTTCTTGGGACATGCGTCCTGAGAAGGCCAAACAGACTGGAAAATGACTCCATTTCCATGCTTGGGAACTAGAAAGAGCAAGCACGATTGCTCGGTTTCCCTGTTCCTGAAGTGCAGCAGAGAATCTACATGGAGAGAAAAGGTCTGGCCGTGGAACCACCCTTCTTTCCAGCCTCACACTGGGAACTGCTGTCTGGACACCACACCCCGCAGCCGCTGGGCAGTTCCCATTGCCACCCTTCTTCCTCGGGGCTGCGTAACTTTGGACTTCAGGGGCAATGGCTCGTTAAAACGCTGCACGCAGTGTGACAGGCTAAATACCAGCTTTCTGTGCAAAGAAACATTCAGGCGTGCGGTGCTGCCATCAAGGCCCGGGGAAAGGATGCTGTGACCTGGAAAGGCTTTAGTGTGCCTTACATTAAGTAACTACTCATCTCCAAAAAGAGGTTTCCCTTCCTTAACTTTTGGGGTGGGTTGTGTGTTTTGTTGTTTGGTCTTAACTAAGGAAATGTAAGATTTCACTATGGAAGTTTCACTGCTGACTTGAAAATTGATATTAGGTCAGTAGCTTCACTTATAACGTGCCACCAGGAGCTTAATAACATTGAAATAGCGTCTTCGTAAATGAAATTAGACAAATCGCCATAGTCTCCAGTGTAGAGTTTGGTGAGATTTGGAAAGTGTGTTTCTGTTGTTTGTTTTGGTGCAGGAATTCAGAATCCTAATCCATGATTACCTTAAAATTGTCCCAATGAGTCGAGTTACTTGGAGTTGAGTCAGTTCTAGCGATTATTTTTTCATTCTCATGTTCATCTAATGAGACATTTTGTGGACACTCATCATGAAGAATGCCTTTCACAGTATATTTCAGACTGAGTCAATTTTGGTACTGTAATATATTTGCTTCATTGTCTATAAGATTTGGGGTTTGAGGTTTAAATTTTTACAGAGCTATAGCAGTAAACCTATCAAACTGACTGTTTACTTGCCCTCCCAATAACCAGTTGCAAGCATTTTAATAACTTTACTGAGAAGACTTGCCTTTGTAACCGTTTCGTTGTTAAGAACTTGGGCAGGACACTAGACACGTCTTTCCCCTTCTTTATTTCCTTTTGTCCCCAGTCATCTCTGGCCCTCTAGGTAGCTTGGCTGAAAGGGGCAGAAAACCCTGTTTCTCACATAAGAGATGAAAATGAAAGGACCCTAGATTGAAGGTAACAACTGTACTGTTCCCTTTGTGTTTGAAGACTGGATCCCATAGTGATTTTTGTGCTTTGTGTTTGAAGACTGGATCCCATGGTGATTTTTGTGACTAGTGTTAAGAAGTAAGGATGCCACTAAGGTGAGCCTGACCCAAGCTCTGTTACTTACATTCCTCTCATACACGGTGAAAGTTGGACAGTGAAGAAGAATCGATGTATTTGAGTTATGGCGCTGGTGGAAAAACCAGAGGATCAAGGCCTGCCAGGACAACAAGCAAATCTGTCTGGGAAGAAGTACATCCAGAATGCTGCTCAAAGGCAGGGGTGGCGAGACTTCGTCTCATGTACTCGACCTGGTGTCGGGAGGGACTGGTCCCTAGAGAAGGTCATCCTGTTTGGTAAGGTACAGGTCATCACATAAGAGGAAGAGCCTCAATGAGATGGATTGACACAGTGGTGGCCACAGTGGGCTCACCTGTGACAGTGATGATGAGGCTGGCACGGCTCGGGCAGTGTTTGCTTCTGTTGGGCATGGTGTCCCTGGGCGTTAGAACTGACTCAAAGGCACCTGACAGTGTTGTCAGGGATAGGGTAGAATACGATCAGCTATAGACCCCCAAGAAACATGCAGTCCCGTTTGACAATGAAAGACCAGTTAGCAAGGCCTGGTTTGCAAGTAAGTTTGCTTATGGATTAATCCAGGCTTGCCACCCCCATCTCCTTTCTCCTCCCACAGGCGGACGAGACAGTCCCAGCTGTTCTTCTGTTACGTAGAGGTCAGTGAGATTGCTAGCCTTGTTCAAGTCTATGTCGCCTTCCCCTCTGCCTTCTAACTTGATTAGTGAACTCAGAAGTGTTCACCCCCAACTGCGCGCCGTTTGTGCCTAGCATTCTTTTGAGGGACAACAGCAGCAAAAATGCAAGGGTAACAAGTTTATTAGAGTGTTTGTTATTATCTTAAATTATGGAAATTTCTTTAATAGAAAAGCCTTAGATGACTGGAAGGTTCTTTTCTGAATCTTCACGAAGTTCCAATCTCCTTCCATGGCGATGGCTTCCCAACAAACAGCATTTAGTACAAGGAAATGAATGCTTTCCTCGTTTCCTATTTTTGCAAAGCTCTTTGCCTACCACTTTCAACTATGTTATGGGATAAGCAGATTTTAATGGGATCTGAGAAGCTAATGCCACGTTTAATTGTTTTCAGAGGGAAAACCGTTTAGGTTCCATATAGTCACTTCACCAGCAAACTGGGGACTGGCTGTTTGAGAGCTGAGACTGTGAGAAACGAGCAGTTGTGCTTGAGAGCAGCCGTAAGTGCTCACTGGAGTGGAGACGTCTGCGAGGATTTCCCAGGCGATGAAGCTCGCTGGGTGTGAGAAGTGGGCTGGCACTCACAAAAGAGCGGGAGAAGGAGTAATCCTACATTGATCTCAACTAAAGCTCCATCTTCTTTTAAAATACCTTTGTTCCAGAAAGCCACATGGGCCGCAAACCAGAAAGTGGTATGTTCCCATCCTCTCCTTGCCTCGTTCCTCCTCGCCTCCCACACATGCAACTCTCTCCCCCTAAACCACCCCCAAACCTCCACCTCAGTGGCCTACGATAGGTTCAAGAAGAAATGAGTGGTTGAGTTACCGTGGCTGGGAATCTACTGCACTTGGAAGCAAGGTGGAAGCAGACAGAAGATGAGGCTGGGCCCCACTGAACTGGAGACCCCAAGGAACCAGCCTTGGTCTGATTCTTCTGCTTATAAGCCGGTCTTCATTATTCCTTTGGAGATTTTAGAGATCATGGCAGCTTCTACAATGAGTCTCGAGGGGCTTACAGTCAAATTGCTCAAGATGATTTAACTCCATTGGTGTCTATTTGTTGCTTAAGTGATTGTGCATTGAGGTAATGCTAAAACTCATGATCTTCTCTTGTGTTTGACTTTTTCTGAAGCCAATCACTGTGTGTCGATTCCCTGAGCGGCTCAGGGAATAGGTACACTGAAGACTTCCCCCAAACCCACAGTTCATTCAAACCCACTTTAACCCATATCTAAGACAGTCAGTAGCTTCTCATCTACAATCTTGGGAGCCAGATACACCAAAGAGCCAAGGTTAACTGGGGGAAATCCCTACTCTGCGATCTAGAGATGGGTGGCCAGCTAATCGACGGATAATTCTATAGTGACTTGCCCGTGTCAGGCCTGGGAGGCTGCAGTTGGCACCGGGCTCTTGGAGAGGAGAGGGAAACCTCCGCTTCTCCACCCAGCTCATCACCGTCCCAGGACCATGGGCTGGCCAAACCGTTACCAAGGGGAAAAGGTCAGTATGTAGTAAGCAGGCTTGAGAAGATAAAGATTGATTTCGCAAATGGTACCCCATGCAAGATTCTGATTGTATCCCTTCTTGAAGAGCATCTTCTCCCCACTCCATTTGAAAACCTTTTTTAAAAATTATTTTTAGCAAAGTGGTGAATAAAGAACTTGTGATAAGATCAACTGTCTCTAGGGGCAAGGTAAGGCGTTAAGATGATGGCCTGCCGAAACAAACGAACGACAAAAAAATATCTCTTTGCAAAGAAATTAAGAAAGATAGCATGAAGATAGGCCCTTCAGCCTAAATGTAAACCCCCCTTTAAAAAAAATCATTTTATTGGGGGTTCGTACAGCTCTTGTCACAATCCACACATAATCCATTCTGTCGAGCACATTTGTACAATTGCTGCCATCATCCTCAAAACATTTGCTTTCTACTTGAGCCTTTGGTATCAGCTCCTCATTTTTTCCCCTCGCTCCTTCACCCTGCTTCCTTCATGAACCCTTGAGAATTTATAAATTATTATTTTTCCGTGTCTTACATTGACCAATATCTCCCTTCATACCCTTTTCTGTTGTCCATCCCCCAGGGAGGGGGTTATCGATAGATCATTATGATCAGCTTCCTCTTTCTCCCCCACCTTTCCCTTACCCTCCTGGTATCGCTACTCTCCTTGTTGGTCCTGAGGGGTTTATCTGTCCTGGATTCCCTGTGTTTCCAGCTCTTACCTGTACCCCTGTACATGCTCTGGTCTACCTGTATTTGTCAGGTAGAATTTGGTAGCCGCCCCTCCCCCCCCATTTCTAAAGTGTTGAGGTTTTGTTTTT